AAAATAAAAAATAAAAAATCTTATGGAAACGGAAATTCAGGCCATATTTCATAAGACTGTCTGAGATTTACACTTTTAACTTATGCACACTTTAAATTATTTTTATTTTCTTAAGAAAATCTCTGCATTCTACTAGAAAATGGGGGAGTATTGGTGGATAATGAAGTCTCCAAAAGCTAACAATTTCTTTTGGATTATTAGAAGAATGAAACCTTCATTTGTGGAAAAACTTCCACAATTTCCACAATAAAAGATAAGGAAAAATCTCAACATCCAATGGATTAATAATTTTTCCAGTTCCATAGTCAAGCATAGTTTATTTTATTTTTGGAAAAAATGAAGTTCATAATGGCGTGATGAGCACCACTCCCTTGAGATAAACCCCAACCAACACGTTAACCATAAATTACCTTATCTTACTTAAGCTTCATTTTTTATATATACACACACACTTACGTTTGTATCAAACTCGTCATTACCAGTCCCCTCCCAATTATCTTTATGCATTTCAAATTAGCCATGGCACAAAATGTCATCATTATGTTGCTGGCAATAGTCTACTTGCTTATCAACATTGTTGCATCTCTAAATAGCTCCACTGATGAGTATGCTCTTCTAGCTTTCAAATCTCAAATAACTTCTGATCCAAATAAAATCTTGGCAAAAAATTGGTCACAGGGAACCTCGTTCTGCAATTGGATTGGCATTACTTGTGGCAGGAGACATCAAAGAGTTATGGAGCTCAATTTAGCAGATATGGGTCTAGGAGGTACTATTGCTAAAGAAATTGGTGAACTCTCTTATTTGAAAACCTTAATTATTAGCAATAATAATTTTCATGGGTTTATCCCTAATGAAATTGGTAACCTCAGCCAGCTTCAAGAAATAGAGATGCAGCAGAATGAGCTAACTGGTTCTATTCCACCAACTTTTGAATTTCTTGAAAATCTTTCGAAGTTAAATATCTCCCATAATGGGCTCACCGGAAAAATTCCTAACAGGATTTTCAACCTCACTTCTCTTATTGAAATAAGTTTTGGAAACAATAGTCTCTCAGGAAGTCTACCTATGGATATTTGCTTCAATCTTCCAAAGCTAGAGAGGCTAAGGATTTCAGAGAATCAAATGAGTGGCAACATTCCTCCAAGCTTGGGAGCTTGCATGAACCTTAAACTTCTTTCTCTGTCGTACAATAATTTTGACGGAAGCATTCCAAGGGAAATAGGGAAGTCTACCTATGGATATTTGCTTCACTCTTCCAAAGCTAGAGAGGCTTAGG